CTGTTATGTGTTTGCACTCGATATCCGCTCATTGCTCTTTGTAAAAGAACGAACTAACTTGATCCATAGTCTAGTAGTATCAGAAATTCTTAGGGACTAGAAGTCTAGAAGTGCTTTGATACCAATGTTCAGAAGTGCAAGGCAGTCTGCCTGTGTATATCTTAATGTTTTGGCTTATGATGCCGTGCTCATATTATGCATTTCATTATTATATTTTTCTTTCCTTTTTTCCCGCCGGATGATGAAAGAGGAAACGCATCACGGCCTTCCTGATGCCCAATCTGTTGCTCGGATTCTTATTCCCTCAACTCCATTGTGTATGGTAGTGAGTCAGTTGAGATTTCTTTCTCAATTCCTGTGGAACCCACTGGTGATACGTACATGTTTTCCTATACTTATTCGTTCCAAATCTTCTAGAGCTGAGACTGTTTTTGTTGGCAATACGCGATTTGGCAGATGTATAAGATGCTGCTCCAATAGTGCTGGCTGGTGAACATTGAGCTCGACCCTGTAGAAATTTGTGTCAGCACTTACTTCTAAGCAAATTAAGGTGACCTTGCCTGTTTGAGTTGTTTCTTTGGCGTTTCTTTCTTATTTTCCTTATGTCTTCCTTTTAAATTTTTGAAGACCTTTTGTGAAGGCTCTTGATAGTTGTTCAAACGCATTGCAAAGAATATAATGTCCATTGGAAATCCATTAACGCTTCAAATATTCAGATTTGGCTAGTTCTGATGTTTGTTTACGATTATATTGAATGCTAAAATGCAGCGTGTAATTGCCTAGGGCTACTTTTTTTGTTGGCTGAAGGATATTATGAAGAAAAAGGGTATTGGTAATTTCTTGTATATGGTGCTATAGCGTAAACGACAAGCTAGTCAATTCTTTCTTTCGGAACTGTTGAGAAAAATGGATATACCTAATCAAAGAGAAGGATAGCAGTTGCCTAAATGGTTGATGTCTCTTTTCGGTTGTTGAACCTTATTAACTTTTTATCTGGACTTTTATAATAGATTGTGCCAAGATTCCAGGAGTTGAAACCTGAGAAGCCTCTTTATAAAAGTTAAGATATATTGCAGAGAAACTTTCTCAATTATTTGCAGATCCAATTACAGTTCAAACATTAAATATGACTAGTTCTGATGTTGGTTTATGATTATTGAGGCTAAAATGCAATGTGTAACTGCCTTGGACTACTTTTCTGTGGGCTGAAGGATATGAAGAAAAGGGTATTTGTAATTTCTTCATATGGTGCCAAAGTGTAACTGGTGCTAGTGAAGGCAGCTTCTGTTTTGATGAATTGTTGAGAAAAATGGATATGCCTTATAAAAGACGAGGATAGTAGCTGTCTAAATGTTTCATATCTGTGACCTTGAGTTATATAAGAAATGCTGTGTTTTTCTGTTAAAAGTAATATTATAATAAATATTACTGTAACTTATTTTATTTACATGTTTTTTTTTTATTTTTTTGTTTATTTTTTTTTTGTGCGAATGATGATACAAGAATCCTTGAGCAAATGGACGTATAAATCAGATTGCTAAGCTCGTGGTTAAAGAATCATAAAGTTGACGCTATGAAATTGGTGCTGGAGCAACTCGAGTTGTTATGATTGGTGCAGTTCTGAAACAAGATGAGAACGAAGGAACCCCGGCTGAGGATGTCAGTTCTGCTTTCTGGAAGGCGGCCGAGGGCCCGCTGACTTGGTGTGCAGGCTATGTGCAATGTCCTGTTCGTCTCAGTCTACTCCTCGCTCTTGATGGTGTTGGGAGACGACATTGTCAAGGTGGGACCTGGCCAGGTATGACAGTGATGGGGTTACGGGTATAGATACCTACCTTTTTTTCTTTAACAAAGGAAATTAAAGTTTGTAGGAAAAAAATGCAAAAAAAATTGAATCACTAAACTATGATTTGCGTTACCTGTGAGCATCGAGGATTTAGTTAAGTTTGAAGTATATTCTTTTCATTTATTTTCTGTTTCTGCAGCCAAAGGGATATTGATTTAGTACATCTTGCGGGAAACAAGTGGCTGGGTCTTCCGTGCAGATGAGAGGAGATATGGACGATTTCTGCCAGACTGACCTTTTGAATGAGGAGTGCAAGGTTTGTGAAATCTTCTCTCTCTCTTAATTAAATTTTAGGAGTTAAAGAAACGATTAGGTGAACTGTTCCTATGTCGAGGTCAGTGAATTTTATCATCATGCTATAATTGGAGCCAAAAACTGAACATAAGGTCGATATTGACACTGGAAAAATTCCAAAATTTACGCCAACAGGAGCAGAAGTATTTTGATGACATGGTTCAGAAGCCCAAGGTAATCTATTTTTTAAATAGATTTCTTGCTCGACTGTGGGTCTGCCGAGATTTCTTGCTCGATTGTGTGGAAGCAGCTAGTGATAGGTACACTGGAGTCGAGCAGGTTAGAATCCCAACGTTTCTGTATTCTGTATACATACTTCAGCCTTCACTAAGCTGAGAATTCGCATTTCTGTTGGCACTATGCAATTCGGGCATTAGATAATTTAGATGCTGTGGGAAACAGTGGATTCCAGTCTATAGAAACTCTTACCTGCTCAGCAAATTAAGGCACATCCATTTTGCTTTGTGTTTCTTTGGTTTTTCTTTTTGCTTTCAGGGCTCAAGACTAGGATAATCTTTGTTGCACTTCACCCCATTCTCGTTAAATAGAAAGAAAATTAAAATATTCTCTGATATGTAGCTGTTTTGTTTTGTTGTTATCCTTCATAATCATGTGGCCTTGTGGTCGTAGGAGAGCAACAGCTGCTGTGGCATCGATTGCAATAATATTGACACGAACGACATGCGAGAGAAAAATGTATTTGAGGCTTTGATCGAGAAATAACAGCTGCTGTGGTCGTCAAGATGATTATGATGATTGATGAGGTCATCTCATTGTTGTCCGAGTACTGATAATTATTTATTTTTCTGATGAACTACAATTTGCTCACTCGCTTGACCTCTTATCATTCGAGTCTTTGACTCTTTGTTGTTGATGGATGGATCGTTTTAATTACCTCAGATGG